GTTCTTTTTTTTTTTTTTGGGGAGAAGTTTTTGCTATAAGGCGCACAGACTTGCCAGAAAGACAAGAGAGAGACAGAGACAGAAAGCAAGAAATCACCCTCCCAGGGGGGATGGCCACGCCACAATCCCTTCTCCTCCATTCTCCTCTCGGCATCTTGGGCATGCACGCACACGCACCCAGTGTGAGTTTAAGCCACCAGGTCCAGGACTTGAACCATGGTTGACTACATGGGAGTCCAGTGACATAGCCATTACGCTAACTGCTGGTCCTGACCACCATGTTCTTTTAAGCAGCATGAAAGGATTTATTTTTTCCTGTTGTTGGCATCTTTGGGAATAAAACATGTTTTTTAGATATCCATATGAAGGAGAGACCCTACTGGAGTTATAAGAAATAAATGGCAGTATTTTCTGCTTAGCTCACATCATCAGAGCAAATTCTTTTCCAAAAAAAGATTTGGAAACTCCAAATGCAAATGTCATATTCAAGTTTCTGGCATATTCCTTTGTATGTTAGAGACACCAGATACCTGGGAAGGTGGTGTTTATATAAATGATGATCATTACTGCATTTTTTCATTTTTTAAAAACTCAGGTAAATCTGACCATAAAAAATATTGTTGACCTGGCCAAATCCTGATGAAATAGCATCATTATCATCAACACACTCTGGGTGTTTAGTCAATAGAAAGTCTGAATTCTGAGGTTTATTCCCCTACCCTCCAACTCATTCAAATACAGAAATATTCATATATGGAAAAATGCTAAAATTAGCAAGAAAAAGAAAAGGCCTGAGGTGAGGAGAAGTGTTTTAAAATTTTAAAAAGTAATAAAATTAAAAATTTGAAGAGAGAGAGAGAGAGAACTTGAAACAGAGACAGAGACAGAGAGAGGACAGAGGTCACCCTACCTTGTCTGAGTATTTCAGGTGTCTGAAAGATGGAAATACCAATGACTATCAGTGTGTCCACTGGAAGGGCTGAAATAATTGATTAAACTATGTGTGTAATTTTTGGAAATACTGAGACTAAAATGTTATATGCTTGTTGCAAAGTGAGGTCACTTCAATAAAGAATGGGGCCTTGTCTATGAGCTCTCCTCAGATATTAAAATTGTCTTACCTCTTGGCTTTTCCACAAAAGGGCTGGAACTTAATGGTGCCTGCTTCCCAGGGCACTATCCAACAGTTAGCATATCACAAAGTCCTTATCAAATGCTTGCAACATATTATACTTAGTAAATGCAAGGTATTGTAAGAGGTCCAATCATCATGATTTTTTTAAAAAAAGGAAGTTTGGAGGGAAGTTATGCTCTAAACTCTACCTTCCAGACCCCCGAAATATTCAGACAAGAAACCATTTTAAATCTGAGGTGTGTCCTGGCATGTTCAGGGAAGTTATGCTCTAAACTCTATCTTCCAGACCCCTGAAATACTGACAAGGTAGGGTGACCTCTGTCCTCTCTCTGTCTCTGTCTCTGTCTTGTGTTCTCTCTCTCTCTTCAAATTTTTAATTTTATTACTTTTTAAATTTTTAAAACACTTCTCACCTCAGGCCTTTTCTTTCTCTTGCTAATTTTAGAAACCATTTTAAATCTGAGGTGTGTCCTGGAATGTTCTCGCGTACTGCATGGTTTTCATTGCTTATCTTAAAAATTTTTTGTTCTCTTTTGTTTGTCAATTTTGTCTAGTTATTTTCCTTTTGATTTTATTTTTTTAAACCTTACTTTCCCACTCTGGTCTTCACTCTCCACACACTGAGTGTCTAGATAGGACTAGGTGCACAGTAGTCAAGTTTCTGAATACTTTTGAAGTCACTGAAATCCTCAATTATTATTGAAACTCCTGCTTTAAGGAAGAAACTTCTTTTTATAAATATGAACTCATAATCTCTTTCTGTGGATACCACATTGCAAAACACAATAGAGGAGAGATTTTGTCACAGAATGACCAGAAACCACAGTAGAGGCACAAGAAATATGAGGAGCCAAGGAAATCTCTCTCCCCTATGCGAAAAGAACAATCCCTCCTCATCCACAGACAGCACAGTGGAACTCGTGGAAATGTCTGGTAGAGAATTCAGAATATTCATAGTGCAAAACTAAAGACACAGCCATTACGCTAACTGCTGGTCCCAGAAACTTTTTTTTTTTTTTATAAATTTGAATTCATAATCTCTTTCTGTGGATACTAAGTTGCAAAGCACAGTTGAGGAGAGATTTTTTTCATAGAATGACCAGAAACCACCACAGAGGCACAAGAAATATGAGAAACCAAGAAAATATCTCTCTCCTAAGGGAAAAGAACAAACCTTCATTATCCACAGACAGTAGAGTAGAACTTGTGGAAATGTCCGATAAAGAGTTCAGAATATATTCATTGGGACAAAACTAAGCAAGATGTAAGGGCTGAGAGATAGCGAACTCCAGAAGATGCAGGAGAAAAGAGAGAATGAGTTCCAGGAGGTGAGGAAGTTCTTGCACAATCTGCAAGAGGAAATAAACAGAAAAAAGAATCAAATGGAGCTGTTAGAGATGAAGACTGCAATATAGGAAATCAAAACTTCCCTCAAAAGTATTAAAAGCAGATTAGTCCATGCAGAAGATCAAATCTCAGGTGTTGAAGGCAACACCTCCTACTTAGAAAAAACAACCCAAAAAAAGCCTGAGAAAATAACACCAAAAAATTAGAATACTATACGAGAAATACTAGATACCATTAAGCACCCAAACATCCAGATAATTGGTATCCTAGAAGGTAAAGAAACTAATAAGGGCATTGATAATCTATTCCATGAAATCTTGGAAGAAAACTTTCCAAATCTAGAGAGGCATTTAAATATCCAGATCTAAGAAATACAAAGGACCCCTAATAGAATCAACCCAAGAAGATCTTCTCCAAGGCACATCATAGCCAGACTGGTCAAATCCACAGACAAAGACAAGATACTAAAATTGGCAAAAGAGAAATGTCAGGTTACTTATAAAGGTTATCCCATCAGGCTAACATCAGACCTCTCATCAGAAACAATGCGAGCAAGGAAAGAATAGGAAAATATATTCAAAGTGTTAAGTGAAAAACAGTTTCAACCAAGAATACTATACCTGGCTGGACTATCCTTCATATGGAAAGAAAGGATAAAAACATTCTCAGATAAATAAGACCTGAAACAATTTGCCAATAGCAGACCCACTCTTCAAGAAGTTCTGTAAGGAGTGCTCTACCAGGAATACTAAAGACGCACTTACAGAAATAAGAGAGCAAAAGTAACCAAGAAAATGACCACCTTTGCTAGGGACAAGAAATATCAATAATATTATTGAATTTTAACTTCCAGAACTATTTATTCTAAATGATTTTTCAGTTTTTCAAAAAGGTAAAATGATTCTCAAGCAAATATAAAATAAACATATGACAATTATTTAACTCATAAATTAATGGAAGAACTAATAGGATGTTAAATAATAGCTATCCACTGTGTGGATAGATTTCAAATACACAAATTCATAGTTAGGTAATTTCAGAAATAAGCATAAGGATAAGATTGCTGGGTTAGATACAAAACTAGCTAATGTCTTAGAGGATAACAAACCCTGATCTTTTAGGTTATCTGTTCTACTGTGACATATATATTTACATTTCTACTGGAAAAAATCTACGTGTAACTTCACCGAGTGTGGGACATGTAATACTGTGTCATTGGCAAATCATGCCATAGTTTTCTATGCAAAAATGCATCATGACTTTCCAGACCACCCATACATTTAATCAGTAGCAAATAGTGACGTGGCATACGCACTCTATGGAAGGCTACTCAGCCATACAAAGCAAGGAGGCCCTGACATTTGATACAAAGGGGATGAATGTGGAAGACTTAATGCTAAGTGAAGCAAGCCAGAGTATGAAAGACAGACTTTGTATGTCCCCACTTAATAGATACCGATCGTCTGTGCTCCATGGCAGAAACTGAAAGTTCGGAAGGTATAGTAGTAGGGAGGGGAACTATAGGTACTAGAGATAGTAAGGATAGGGGTAATAGGGGGTGGGTAACAGAGGGAGGGGAACAGGGGAAATATACGTTTAATTGACACAAAAATGAGAAGTGATTTGCTGATGATAATGTATGTGATAAAGTCTTTGTCTTGACTGATTTGCACCATATTCATGCTGGAAAAAGCAATGATGTGCACTGTAAATATATTATAGTGACTAAATGTAAATTTAAAAATAAATTAATTTTAAAAAAAGCAAATACTGAGTCAAACTAAATACATACACCAAGATAATTTTTGGGTAGCCTTCGTCACATATGTCATTGAAAAGATGTGTCACCCACTCCCGCCCCCCCCCCCCTTCTAGATAGATAATTTCTAAAAATAACACTGGCCTACAAAGAAATGGAGGAACCACTGTGGTTTATGGCAATGCCCTTTGTATGGGTCTGTAGACGGGAGCCCCTGTGAGGTTTTGATCTATCTTTAGTTCTTGAGTAACTCAGGCAGAGGAATACAAAGTTCTCTGTGGCCCGAAGTTCCATCCTCTTCCTCTTGTACTCGTTTCATCTTAGTTACCCCTGACAGCTCCAACTTGGCTTGGCATACACTCTCCTCTGTAGTCAAGACGTGGATGAGCAGAAACGGGGCCCCAGGTTCACAGGAGGGCAGGTTCAACCCTTTTCAGGTTCCCGGGTGCTGCTGTGTGGATCCGACGGGTGAGCAGGGTTCTCCGTGCCGGGTGGTGCTGGCCGCGGCTCCTGATGCTTTTCTGTCCCACGGACGCGTCCTACCCGGAACCGCCTGTCAGTGTGTTGCAGGTGCCATGTACATCACCGGCTTCGCTGAATCCATCTCAGACTTGCTGGGCCTCAGGAGCATCTGGGCTGTGCGAGGGATTTCTGTTGTGGTGCTTCTGGCCTTGCTGGGGATTAACCTGGCGGGTGTCAAGTGGATAATCCGCCTCCAGCTGCTGCTGCTGTTCCTGCTGGCCGTGTCCACCCTGGATGTCGTGGTGGGCTCTTTCACCCACCTGGACCCAGGTAAGGCTTTGGGAGGCTTCTGGCCTTTAGGATCTGCCCTGCTCTGTAGATGTGGATAGGTGTGAGTTTGCACACACCATGCACACACACACCCGCATAGGCTTACCTGCCCCTGCTGGGGGTCATTCCTGGGCCAGGTGGTAGGTGTGTCTTGGTGTGGCCTTGTGGGCCTGGGAGCTCCTCTTCACACAGGTATTTCCACTTAGCACACTTTTTCATGTTTCCTTTCTATTAAGCAAGAACTTTAGATAAAGAAGAACATGGAACTAAGTCGAAAAGATAAAACCCGTAACAGCAATCGGGAGAGTGGGCAAGAAGCAGATATGGGGCTAAGGAAGGAAGTGGAGATAAATCTTATCTGTCAGAGTTTATTTCCCTTTTTAAAAGGATTTGATGTACACATAATAAATGTTAACGATGGTCATTTCGGGGAGGTGAGAAGAGGTACTTGTTTAACTATGTCCAGTTTTCTGTATTAATTTTTTTTTCAAACTGTAAATGTGAATCTTTTAATGAAGCTTAATGAAAATAAGCCACCAGGTATTTGGAAATGGTATCATATATTTGTAATCAATCAACCATTGTTCAGTCTAGCCCTGGCTTTTCTTCCGCCTGGAGGACACTTGTCTACTCTAATCCTAAACCCTTATCCTCTGTGGGAAAAGCTGTCACCGGCGTGTCCATAGCTTTATAGCTTTGGGGTCTGAGTTGCTCTGGCATCAGAGGTCTCTGCTTCTTTCCAGAGTACAGGCTTATTCTTGTTTTTTTGAGACATTTTTGCCATAGGGCGCGTGCGCTCGCCAGGCAGACAGAGAGAGACAGAGAGACAGAAAGTGAGAAATCACCTCCCAGGGGGGATGGCCACACCACAATCCCTTCTTCTCCATTCTCCTCTTGGGATCTTGGGCACGTACGCTCACACACCCGGCGTGGGTTTTAAGCCACCGGGGCCGGGACTTGAACTGCGGTCGACTACATGGGAGTCCAGCGACATAGCCATTACGCTAACTGCTGGTCCCTGAGTACAGGCTTATTCTTAGACGATGTAGCAAAAGAAGTAACTGCTGACATTTCAGACTTCAGGGACTCTGTCTTTAAATGCTATAGTGACCAGGTATGTACGCTGGA